TCTAGCAAACCTGCCGGACTACTTTTGGCTTGACCAAAACTGGACGATAACTCTGCTCACAGGACGCTGCCAGGGGTAAGTCAGTGTGATTGCATGCCGCTGGTGATGGGGATGTCATACAGATTCATGTCAAAAATACCGAACTATCCCTTTAAAAATGCTCAGAAGATCCCAAGGAAGCAAATTTACATCTAAGACATTTTTGGTTCTGGATCATTTTAAGCTTTAACTTGACTTTAGATTTAGGTCAATAGAACTACCTGCAATAGAGGCATAAATGTCAGTTAACTAAAGCATACCCACCAGCAGGTGGCGCTGTTTGGTCACTGAAAGGAAGCATGGAAGGATCCCAGCTAATCCTCTTAGCTCTGTCCTCCAACCTTCTGCCTTCACTGATCCTTCAGCCCCACACAGCTCACAGCGCGGCTGCCGCCATGTACAAAACCTATAATGATCAGTGGGACGAAGAGAGCGATGACGAGAAGAATTCCCTCTACTCCTCCTTCTGGTCTGACGGAGAGGCAGGAGACAAGGAGGAGGAGGAGGTGGAGATTATGAGAGGGGTTGACTGCAGACCCGTCTGTGATCCGGAGGGTTCACCTGCAGGAAGTTTAAAGGAGGAACATCCAGAGTTAAAGCGACACTGTGGTTCTGATGGAGGGACTCAGGAGGGAGAGGAAGATGATGGTAAATCTCCCAGCAGCAGCTGTGGTAGTCCACCAGTAAGCCCAGTGACTTCTGGCTATGGCACCTACAGAGCAGACGAGCAGGAGGTAGCGGAGAACCGGGACGCTCGCTCCACCATCGGGTTTAACCGAGGCAGCAGAGAAGATCTGTCCGAGTTCAGAGACGATGAAGAGGACTCGCCATCACTCAAAAGCTTCATCGAGCTTCAGGAGGAACGAACACCTGGTCCAGATGAGCCTGCAGCCGATGCATCAGGGGGCGGTGCAGCTCCTACTGTCGCCACTCGCTGCAAGAGTCACCGCACGCCGAAGGAGGTCAGCGAACTTCACATGGACCTGCCCACGGGAACGGGGGCACCATCGGAGGTTCGGCAGCGCCACACTGATGTAGATAACATGCTGCTGCTTCATGAGGAGGGTTTAAAAGATGGACTGGATGAAAGCCAAGGAGGAGATGAGCAGTTATTTCCCTCTGATGATCCAGACCAGTCCTCAAGCTACAAAGATGTCAGATACAAAGACTGTAGATGGGATTTCTGCTCGAGGGCCGATGACAGGATGTCAGTGGAGGCCTGGAGGAGGGGTAAATGGCTTCCTGTCTGTTTATATAGCCGCCAGAGGAACATTCATTCATGCTTTTTTAACCGCATTCAGCAAAATCATTGCAGTGGATCCAGAGACACATTTATAGGCTGGATGGCGGTAACTAAAATAAACAATTTTCTCTTGAGGTTTAGGGCTTACTAACATCTCCGTATAGGTCCTACATCTATGGAGGGAAATTTGCTCCATTATTGTTGCAAGCAAAGTTTGGAAGTGGAAAATCGGGAAAGAATATTTTATCCAGAAATGAAATCTTTTTAAAACTTCTAAATCAAAGTAGGGTTGAAAGTAACTTCTAGGATTTAAATTTTTCAATTTCTTTTTCATATTTTCTTTCAAACCTTTATCTCTGGACTGCACTTTCTTTTTTGGAAATTTTCCTTTTTTGTTCATTAACGTGTCAGTATTAGCTATGAAGCTAGTTTTCAACTGTTGTCCATTGGCAAGGTGTATCATACCAACAATTATAGAAAAACATGATAAAACAAACATAGAAAATGTAACAAATTGAGGCTATATACCTACAAAGGCAGGTCATACAGTTCAGAGACATTAGCATAAATATATACGGATATTTACAAGGTAATACCCGATCCTGACATTTATCTGAGTCATGCACCAGGAGATCAGTTAAGTCTAATGAGCACATTTTTTTAAATTTAATTTCATTCAGTTTTTTAATGTTTTAAAGTGGAGGATTCTCTGATAGTGAGAGGGAAGCTGTTCCAGATGTTCCAGCCCCTGATGAAAACACAACCATCCTAAGCTAGTCCATCTGAAGGGCACATTACAGTTAACCTGACTCCGCCAGATGGATTTGCTCTGCATATCCATCTGGAAACCTTCCGTTGAAGTAATTTTGGGAAGGGGCTGATTGGCCTATGCTGGTGATAGACGGGCCAAATAAACCAATCAGATCAACGAAGCATATGAAGTAACACAGCGATGACGAAGAGGAGCCAATTGATAGATCAAACTCTTGCCGAAACCAGTCGGGAGAAGAGCAAAAACATATTTTCCTCTGAGAAAAGCCTCCAGAGCAGTGTTTTGCTCTTCTTTCAATGAAGAAATACTCTGTAATTCCGATAAAACTTGCTCGATAGCCACGCTAACGCTAGTTTCATCGGCTGAAGCCGCCGTGTTCTTCAGACTGAACTGTCGCGCTTGTCGTTGCGTCACACCTCAACCCGCCTCAAAGCCAACGCTGTTGGACGTTCATTTGGTGAACGGCTCCAAATTTTCTTCAACGGAGAGTCTCCAGACTGATTAGCGAGTGAAATCCCTAATCGCGGTGGTGCAAGTCCATTGAGAACTTTATAAACCAAGCAAGTTTAAGGTATTTAAAATTCTAAAAGTTGAGGAGATTGTAAGTAGTGATGGGTTAATGAGGCATCTGGAAGCATTTCAACTCATTGCAAACTGTATTGATGCTGCGTTGATACTGTCTCAGAATACTGACACCTGCTGGACATTTAAAGACACTACAGACAGCTAATTTTACAGAGTGAATTGGTTTGATGACCTAGTACAATTATATAATTTAAGTTATTGTAGGTTATATTGTATAATTTCATATCAATGTTTAAATTGAAAATATGTTTGATATGTTTAGATGCAGCCAATAAATGCTGCAAACATATAACGTGAAAATTTAGGGGAAAATGTGAATGTAAGTAAGTAACAGTAACAGAAATGAAATTAAATTCAGATAAGTTGAGCGATAACAGCGGAAAAGTATGACACAACGAGCAAATAACGCAACAGCTGAAACTCTCCTATTCCTTTAAAGGCTTTTATTTTAACGATAAACCGCAAAACATGACACATTTTTAACAGATGCATCCTGTTGACAGATACGTTTTTAAACACAGTTTAGTGAGTCAGTCAGTTAGAAACAACTCCTGTATCGGCCACATGACTTTCTTGAAACGACACGCACACCGATACGGTGTTTTTCTCTACGGGTTCGACGTAAGCACCGACACATCAGTGTTGCTGAATTAATTGTAAGTCTCAAGAAAGCGACAATGGTGGTACGAAACAGGTTTTTCTGCAGAAATCTTTAAAGCTTTTTTATATTATGATTCTATTTGTTTAAATGAGGTTTCATTTGTAAGATACCAGGTTGTAAAAAAACATATTCGATGTGCAAGAAGCTTTTTCAATTCAAAATGTTGGACATTTTAATTTGAAAAAGTTTCCTGGATGGGGACCGAAACTTGGAAACAAAGTCCAATGTCCAAAGAACAGGTCAGCTATTCTCCTCCTTAGGTGGTTTTAGATGATGACATTGTCTGGACATGTTCCCCACTTCATCAACATTTATATGAAGATTTTGAAATCATTTTCAAAGGTTAAAAGCCTTAAAAGTCTAGTAGGTAATTTAGCATGAAAGAACCATTTCAAATAGTTTCTGTTTACAATTACGTATAACTAGATGCTGTTAGAATTAAAGCTTTACTTTTAGAAGTATAAGTGTCATTTCATTCATGGTTGCCTGTTCTTATCAGACGCTGCGAGCTGTCTAGAGGAGCGAATGGCCGAGCTCGATCTCTCCCCGTCAGACCAGGAGTCCGAAGCAGAGAGCGAAGATGTGACCGATGAGAGCAGCAGCTCCCCGACCTCAGAGGCCGATGGCTTCACCCTGAGTGCCTTCCAGTCCTACATCAACGGCATGGTGAGTAAAATGCTTTTTAGGGAGACGTGTTCTCGTTTTTACTTTATTAAATGCAAAGATGTCTGATCTTTGAAATGTTTCTCTTTAAACAGGCTCAAGCTCAGAGCAATAGGGATGGAAGACCCAAACCCAAATCCTGTAAGTTGGTACAGATTATCTCAGACCCAGTTGACCTCACTGGCTCGGTTCTCATTTGGTATCACAAAGTGGTTTCTTTTTTTGTTTTGTTTTTTCTGTTTTGTTTGACCGAACTGACTCTGCTTCCAGTCATCCGACCAGTGAGGCTTCAACCAACCATAAAGAAGACTGATCCAGTGGCAAAGTAAGTCAGACATATCTCTGCAAAGCATCACCTTTATCCTCATCTGGATGAAAAAGATAAACAAGCAAATGATCATTTTAAAATGTTAAATGAACTAAATATTAAAATTTATTAAAACATTTCACCATTTTTTTTTTATCATTATCTAGTATTTATAATGTAGTATATTTGCAAAAATGTGTTTTCTTGCAAACAGGCGGAGTTTATGACCTCACTTTGAAATAACAGCTTTATGGTGTATAAGAACATAACAAGATGCTGAAACTGACTCCAGAATCTTGTGAATAGCTCTGCTTGTACCAGTTAGTTCTGAAGCGCGGCTGAAGCAGCTTGCTGCTCTGGCTGCGCGGTGCAAAAGTGTG